TGATGATAATGTCAGATGATTTATGACAAATACTGTTCAACTGCAGGATTCTTATTCAAATCACTTCAAGAATAAGACAGTGCATTTAGTTCTTGCCCCTTCCTTCATGTGTGTTGTAYAACCATGACATTTTTCTCAGGTGAGCTTTAGTTCTGAATTTCAGTCCATCTGGCACATTCTCTGCACACCCTTGGAATTCTTGTCTGACTTTGGCTGTGGCTTCTTTTTCATTCTTTTCATTAATTGTTGCAAATCTACTTTGTGCCTCCAGAGGATATCCCACGGTGAACTCTCGTGCTCTGGAGAGCATCTTCCTTTTATAGAAGGAAACCCAGGCCATGGGAAGCCTAGTGATGGAGCAAAACATTTGGGTGCCAGGAATCAGAGCTGCCAAGCTGATTTTTCCTGCATTATCCAAGATATCCTGTCTGCACCAGCCATCCCAGGAAACATTGCTGACATAGTAGAATTGCTAAAGAAGATTTCCCTGCTGCTATCAGAGAATGTCACCAGAAGAAAAATGGAGGTATTTGCTTTTTTTTGGCTTTGGGAGGTTTTTCTGAGCTTTCCACGGCACCCATACAGTCTTTTGTCCTTCTGGCCACTGTCCAATGAAGTGGTGGCTGCAAGTCACATGGAGGGTACCTGGAAAGTTTTCACAGTGGGATATTTTACTGTCAGAGAAACAGTTTGACTTATTCATGTGTGATGAAAATAACACTGTGGAATTAAATTTCTTTAAAAGCAAAAGTTTCAGGACCTACTTTTATAGGAATGGGATAACAGTACAAGGAAGAATTAATTTTTWGAATATGACAGGGAAAGGCAGCCTTGGAGATGCTGACCTGTAGGTCTGCTGCCTTGTGTTGTACAACAAAAACTGAGATCTTTTCCTGATTAATTCAGAAATCAGAGAGTGGGGGAAGAAATGTAGGGAGAGCGGAATAAATTGTTTCTTCTAACATAAAATAAATTCTATTTTGCTTGTTTGTTTCAGAGCTACAGCAGGATGGCAAACCATATTCTGAACAGCTCCGTCATTTCCAACTGGGCTTTTGTAAAGGACAGAAATGCTGGTTCAATATTACTGGACTCAGTGAATTCATTTGCTGGGAAACTCCTTCTCAGAAACGGCTCMGAAAGTATCCAGGAGCCCTTCATCGCCACCAAAGGCTACAGCATACACAGAAACACTTCAGGAAAGAGCTTTGACTTTTCCATGGAGTTCAATAGCACRGACAATATCACTGGGCACGTGGTGATTCCAGAAGAAGAGCTTCTGAGGTTACCCAGGGCTTCCAGAGCCATCAGCGTCGCGTTCCCAACGCTCGGAGCCGTCCTAGAGACCAACCAGCCRGACCCCGCTTTCGTGAACGGGATGGTGCTGTCGGTGTCTCTGCCAGAGGAGCTCCAGAACATTTTGCTCACCTTTGAGAAGCTGATCAAGCTGGAGCAGGTGGGGGCTCAGTGCGTGGGGTGGCACTCGGCCGAGCGGCGCTGGGATCCYGGGGCGTGCGAGCTGCGGTCCCACAACGTCAGCGCCGTGGTTTGCGTCTGCGCCCACCGGCGCCGCACCTACAGCTCCTTCTCCATCCTGATGGCCCCGGCCGTGCCACGGAGCTCCCTGCTGGATTACATCACMCAGGTGGGCCTGGGGCTGTCCATTTTCAGCCTGGTCCTCTGCCTCCTCATCGAGGCTGTGGTCTGGCATCACGTCACAAAAACGGAAATAACCTACATGCGCCACTTCTGCTTGGTCAACATCGCTGCCTCGCTCCTCGTCGCTGATGTCCTGTTCATCTTGGCAGCTATTGTGCACAATTCAGCCCTAAACTACCARCTSTGTGTGGCAGCCACTTTTTTCCTTCACCTTTTCTATCTTGCCTTGTTTTTTTGGATGTTTACCCTGGGCCTCTTGATTCTCTATGGATTATTATTAATTTTTTTTAAGATAACAAGAACTGTGTTCCTAGCTGCAGCATTCTCTATTGGATATGGATGTCCCTTGGTCATATCTGTCCTCACTGTTGCTATTACTGAACCAAAAAATGGCTATTTAAGGAGTGGAGCCTGCTGGCTCAATTGGTATGAGACAAAAGCCCTTTTGGCCTTTGTTGTCCCTGCCCTGAGCATCATTGTTGTGAATCTGGTGGTGGTGGTCGTGGTTGTGGTGAAGACTGGGAGATCCTCYGTTGGAGAAGGCTGCAAATCACAAGATTTGAGCAGCATGATCCGAGTCAGCAAAAACATTGCCCTCCTGACACCCCTGCTGGGCCTCACCTGGGGGTTTGGGTTGGCCACCATCATCGACAGCCGCTCTCTGGCCTTCCAYGTTGTGTTTGCGCTGCTCAACGCCTTCCAGGTAAACTCTGGGACACTGGGAATGGTGTGTGTGCTCATTCCTTGAGCCTGGGATGAAGGGACCAGAGCAAAGAGGGGCTGGCAGCAGGTGCTGGGCATGAAATCGTGATCTCAGCTTTCCCTTCCTGTGGTACATGCACGAGGTGTCCTGGGTTGGTGCTGTAGGTGCAGATGGGAAATGGAACAAACTGGTTTGGTGTGAAGTTGAATCAAGAATTAATCCCATGATTGATTTCTGTTAAATGTAAAATCCACCAATTAATGTCCATAACTGCAAAGATGTCTGATCCTTATCAATAAATACWCAGMAAATTCTCACTTCCRTTGACAATGACWCTGGCACAGGTTGCCCAAAGRAGCTGTGGCTGCCCCATCCCTGGAAATGTYSAAGGCCAGGTTGGATGGGGCTTGGAGCAGCCTGGWMTAGTGGAAGGTGTCCCTGCCCATGGCAGGGSGTTGGARCTGGGTGATCTTTAAGGTCAATTCCAACCCAAACCATTCCATTCTGTGACTGATTCTGTGGTTTTGATTAACTCATCAGCACAAACACCCAGTGTTACTGATGCTCTGCAGCACACCCAGTCTGCCTCAACTCTTCTTGGCTCAGGCTGCACTGAATGGGCTGAGAAAGTCCTGGTTTATAACCCACCAGTCCAGTTCCAGTGAGAATTAACCCAGGTTATATCCATCCCTGATGTTCCCAGAGAGCCCCATGACCTGGGTGGACAAACCCATTTTGTGCATTGCTGTTACCTGAATCACAGGTGATGAGATCTCTCCTTAACAAAGGGACATCTAGAAACACTTAAGAAATATTGTGTGGTTATGCTGGTTTTGTTAACTGGTTTTGCAATTTCTTAGGGATTCTTCATCCTGTTGTTTGGRACCCTTCTGGACAGAAAGGTACTTATTCTGGATTATATGAACATTTTCCACACCCTGAGAAACTGCTCCCTTTAATATTTTTTATTTAAATCTGCAGACGAGAGAAGCCTTAAAGATGAACTGCCTTTCATCAAGGCGGAATTGGGGTCTAGAAAAGGTAAAGYTTATTTATTTTCCTTTTAATGGCTTAATTTACCAGTTTACAAACCTTATTTGTATGTGGAAAGAATGGAACCATCCACTACATCTTACACAGTTTACCCTTTCTTGTCAAAGGCAAATTCTTGCTGAAGGACACACAGGTAGCTCAAAAGTCTGCTCAGGATATTTAGCTTCTAAATATCAGAAGTGGCAATTGATGGATTTTTGTGATTCCTACATAACCTGCTGCTGTGGTTACAAAGTTAAAAGCTGTGTTTTAATCTGATCTGTTCACCTGCAGATGTCAAAGCCCTTTAGACAGACAGTGTCAATGACTTTTTCCCCCCCATATGTGAATTAGATTTACTTTAAGGTCACTGAATAAGAAAGGAGTAGAATTAGGAATTGAAAATCCCAATAATGATGACCTGGTTGCTGCCTTCACAAAAGCATGGATCTGTATACAGCAGGGCTGCTTTAGGATGTCAGAGGGTTGTTCTGCTTTCAGCAGAGGGATGGAAATCACTCAGAGCCCAGCCTGTGTGTTTGGTGCTAACTGAGGTGCATYCATGAGAGCTTGAGGGTTTTTTAAATATCAGGACATTTCATTAAAAGCAATGTTTAAACCTTAAGGAAACAAACTCTGTGTTAGCAGCTCCCTACAAAAACTGGCAGAATTGATATGTTGGCATCCGGAGTTGGTGGAAAAACTTTTGTCTGTTGTTCTTAGATTTCTTTTGGTACCAAAGCTTTATTGGTTTYATATATTTATAAAAGGGAGTCCTCTATAGCTGTCTGAAGAATTACCTGCAGTGTTTTTGCTGCCTGAAAAAAGAAACTGTGTCAGTCCAGTTTGACATGGGAAAAATAATTTCCTTGCTTTTTTTTTTTTCCAGTCTGTAACTCAGTTATGAATTTTTTACTGAAAGATGCAGAGAATCTTCCAGTGACAGTGTGTTCAAATRTACTTGTACTTGGTTTATGAGAGGATAATAGAGGGGTTGAGCCAACTATTCCTCCCTTTTGAAACCAGCATTTGGGTCTTTTGGGGCAGGAGAGGCTGTGCAACTGCTGGTTCCTCCAAATTTAATAAATTGAGATTACAGTTGTGTTACAGATCCAAGGAGGTCCAGTAAAGATGTTTCATATCTTGTCAGGCATTAGGTCAGGATTGAAAGTTTGAAAGTTAAAATTCTCTCAAGTCTCTGCCAGTGTAATAGTCTGAAAACAACAGATGGAAATGTCACTAATCCCATGACTCAGCAACATTTGATAAAAGGATTGAGTGATCTCACTGGGCAGAGCTTGATGTGGAAACCATGGCTGTGCGTGCCTAAGAATTTGGGTCGATGTTGTCACTCTCCTGGGTGGAAGAAACCACGTGTAGGTGTTTACTGTGGCATAACAGAGGGGAAAGATGTGAGTCACCCACTTTTGTAAACTTGGGTCTAAACATGGAGTTTGACTCATTAGAGCTGGAAAAGTTTGTCACATCTGAGATGATTGTTTCAAAAAAAAGCAAAAAGAATCTTGTTTTAGAGAGCTTCAGAATTGTGGGATTATTTAGGCTGGAAAAGACCTCTGAGGCTGAGTCCAGCCATTCACCCAGCCCTGCCAAGCCACCTCTAAACCCTGTCCCCAAATGCCACATCTGCATATCTTTTAAACACTTCCAGGGATGATTACTCCAACAGTGCCCTGGGCAGCCTGTTCCCGTGCTTCACAGCCCTTTTGGTGAAGGATTTGTTCCCAAAATCCAATCTAAATCCCTCTGTCACAACTTGTGACCATTTCCTCACATCCTGTCCCTTGTTCCCTGGGAGCAGAGCCAGACCCCCACCCAGCTCCACCCTCCTGTCAAGGAGTTGTGCAGAGCCAGAAGGTCCCCCCCGAGCTTCCTTTTCTCCAGACTGAGCCCTCCCAGCTCCCTCAGCTGCTCCTTGTGCTCCAGACCCTTCCCCTGCTCCGTTCCCTTCTCTGGACACGCTCCAGCCCCTCAATGTCTTTGTKGAAATGAGKGGCCCAAAATGGGACTGGGTATTTCTGGGGGTTTCATGGTGACTGTAAAACACCTGCAAGGATTATGCAGCCTCTTGTCTCAGGTCTCTGAGTCTCCTCAGACCTGCAGGAGCCTTTCCTGTGGGCCACATTGTGAGGTGACCATCTTGTGGTATTTCTCAGACAATGCTGAGGTGCCTCCTATTTGAAATGGATCCTCCACCCCCACAGATGATATTTGTAATCTGATCTGATTTTTTTTTCCTCCTAGTCCTAGCAGTGGACTCTCATCTTCAGTGGATCTGACCAGCGAGAAGAAAGGGAGCACTTCTTGCCCTGAAATGCTGCTTTGRGGTGAGCTGAAGTGCCTGACCTGCTCAGAGCATGGACAGCACTGTCTGGGAGCACAACCACGGGAAGCATCATGAAAACCAGAAGAGAAAARGCCCTGAACTTGTGTCAGGAGCAGGAAACCATCAGTGCTGCTGCAGCCCTTGGAGGAAACACGCTGGAACATAAAGCTTTCTTCTCACCTGTGTGAAAACTGCTGTGAGGAGAGTTTGTCCTCGTTCGCCATTTCAGTACTTCAGTTTCTTTCCTCTTTTCCTTTTTTTATTGTCAGTGCAATAAGGAGCTGTACAGTGTGTGGAGATGTTCTAGAATTATTTAATTTTTAATATGAGGTAYAAATGTTGAGCATTATCTGGCTGGTTTTTGGCTGTCTTTTGAGCAAGACTGATTCTGTTTATTGCCTCTGTATTCTTMATTTCCATCTGCTCTCCCAGACTGATGGACAACTCTGTTTCTGCATTGCAGCTGTTCTCTCCCTCCCARTATTTGTTGTCTCCATCTCAGTACCTGTGTGTGAGAGGAATTGTACAAAGCCCTTTTCTGGTGTGTCAGGACAGAATTTTCCTTCTTTTTCCTGTTCTGAAAGACAATGACAGAGATAAACAAGAAAGARGACTCTGTAAATAATCAGTTTCCCTCTTTAGGTGTGGGAAGACAAACTTGGAGTTCTCATCAGAGCTGAATCAAATGGAGGAACATCTCCTGTTCAATGTCCTAATAAAGGAATTTGGTTTTCCACGTGAGATGGGGTATCTGGTTTAATTAGAAAATCTGCCCTTGGTYTGAGAAACCCTTTCTAATGAAGGCTTTGATGGAAATGTTAACTCTTGTCAGGATAAATTGATGGTTTCAAAGGAAAATAAAGTTGAAATTTTGTCATTGTTTCTAGTAAGGGGTCCTTATCCTTCTCTATTAAAAATGCAGATAAATGCTCTGTAGTATTTCCTCGTATTACTCAAGTCAGAAATCACTTAAACCCATGTGGCTTCACATAGATTGAAATAATGAAGATAAAGCAACATAATACAGTTCAATGTCATCAGCAAACCTTTACTGAAGAGAGAGGAAAATGCCCTGGCATGGAAAAACTCACTGCCAGATGTGGGAGAAGCTGAGGAGGGTGTGGAGGGCAGAGCTGTTCCTGGGCCATGGGGCAGTTCTTGTCCTCAGGACTCTGTTGCTTCCTCTCTTCTTTCCTTGCAGACTGTTCTTTTTCCAAGGCTCCTTTCATTCAGCTCATTTGCATGTTGGAGAACTTTATTCAGAAGTAAAATTAGGTCTGTGTGCTGCTGAAACAAATTTTAAAAGACCACTACCCCAAAGTCAGCTTACTGGTATCATTTTATTAATGAAATGTTTGGATCTTTTTATAGCATCTGAAAATTTAAGAAAACTTGCCAGAACCCAGYACCTGCCCTCCTCTCACCTGTGTTCATGTTAAACCACTGCTACAATGGTGGAATTTATAGATGCTCTCAGATGAGGCTTCCTTTATTATAGACATTCCCTCCAGAATCCCAGGAAATCCAGCAGGAGCTTTGCCCCAGGAAARGCACCATGGAAGGAATCTGTTTCATCCACTGTTTACCAAAGGATGTTTAAAGTATGGAGCTTGTTTTCAGCACTTGGCACATATTGGTGTTTTACCCTGTGTTTTATGAGCATTTAGGGATTTAAAAAATAACAGATGGGGGAATTTTACAGAGAACCAGTTCATGTCCAGCATGAGGTGCAGCACTGACTGCTTTTAATACCCCAACCTTAAACTGAGCAGGAGCATTTCATGAATAAATGTATTTGAGGGGTGAAAACTGTAGCTGTCCCTCATGGGCTGTAAGTTGGTGTTTCTCTGAATGCCATGGGCTGACAGCCCAACTCTAATTGTAGTGAGGGAATCACCCAGAGCTGAAATTCTGCCAGTTTCCCAAATTATCCGTGTAGCAACAGCTCAATAAAGTCAGTGTTGTGTGGGGCAGTTGGAGCCCTTGATGTGCAGGAGCTCCTTTTGGAGCTGTTCCACCYTGCCTGAAGAAGGTCACACCTGAAAACTCCGAGTGCTCTCCTTGTCAAGGTGTCACAATTAATTGGACATCCCATTTCTTTCTATAGAATTACAGCATTGCTTCTGTGGCTRCACAAACAGGGTCTGCAGGGCCATGTCCTCCCAAAATGAATTGTCATTTCAGGGGACAGCACAGTTTGGGACACGCAGCACTAAAATCCCTGGTGGATGTGCTCCCAGGAAAGGGCCCCTTGGGAGCGCTGCCTCCTTCTCTGGCTTCTTTCACTGATTTTGTGTCAGCCAATATCACCATGGGAATGTACTTTTAGCACAGAAATCTGAATTCCATCAGCTCAGAATTCTAAACTCACCAGAATTCCCACTCCCTGGCCCCCAGATCAGATGTCCCGTTTGTATCCTGAAAGCAGGGCAGTACTGATTATGTAATTTTCCATTTCTAACATATTCTGTATTATAAATTAGATTGTTTTTGCTTTTATTCTCTCAAGGGGGACACAATCAATATCAAATTGATGCTGATGCATGGAAGTTCCAGCTGAACTTGAGGAAGAATTTCCCTGTGCAGTGACCAAGCACTGAATAGAGACCAGAGAGGGTGTGGAGTCTCCCTCACTGGAGATATTCCAGAACCATCTGGACACAATCCTGTGATCTGGAATGATGCTTGAGCAGAAATGTTGGACCAGATGACCCCACTGTGGTCCCTTCCAACCTGACCCATTCTGTGACTCCATAAAATCCACTGGAGTTTAGAATTTTAACTTCCCTATTAGATTTTAATGTAATATTTCCATAGTTTTGCTCCGAGCACTGTGGCTGGAGGTGTTTTTCTTCAACAACTTCCATCTGGGCACAACAGAGAAAGCTTTCTAATGGTGTAAATCTTGTGAACTTGTTTACATGGGCTCTGTGTGCCAGGTCAGATGTGCTTGGACACCGTGTTCCTTCGGGCCCCGCAGTTCCCTGGTGTATCTGAAACCCAGCCTGGCTCCAGTGCYACCCTGGGGCTGCTCCAGGCTTTGGGAGAAGGTGCATGTCCCTTCTGATCTGACAAAAATAGTTCATCTGTCACTAATTAGTGCAGCCATGTGCTCGCTGTTCTTTTTCACAACTGCAAAAAGTCATCCAAAGTCTATTTATTTCCTTAACTGCAGCCARTCAGTGGAATGGCACTTTTATTTGCAGTGCTAAACTTGAAAAGCCTGGTGCTTTCTTGCTTACTTAAGCATCAATCTTTAATTATAGCCCTTCAAGCCACGTGTAAGATGTATGTGTACCCTTTGGGTGCTTTTGTTTCAGGTTGGGACCAGTAATAAATCATCTCTTCGGGCTGTTTGAGGATTAAGTGTTGAACAATGGATTGATTAGCAAGACCATTCCAGCCCTTGGGCAGTGCAAGTTGAGTTTTATAAAGTAATTCCTATTCATGCTGCAGCTCCTCTGGGCAGGAAACAGGCAGGCTGTTGCAAYTATGGGGCTCTTGGAAGATGGAGCTATATTTAGCTTGAGTTTGGCTTTAAATCCCCCTGTTTAAGAAGGATAAGTGAACAGAGAAGTGTTTAGAGAAGCAGTGAGTTTTCCTTACCCTGGTGTTGCTAAATGGGCTTTCAGTAAACATCAATTACCGGGCTCTGTGCAGCGGTGTGACAGCAAATCCCAGCCTGTGAAATGGTCCCTTGTGGCCTCAACACTTGATCCCAGGCTGTTCTTCCCACTGCAGCTTTGACAGCAGCAGCCAAATGTGAATTTCTGTGGTTAGAGGAGGCCATTTCCAGGTTGACTCTGATGACAATGGAAAAGAAAGGTGGGACATTCCTTTTGGTGTACTTGTGTAGAACCTTTAGAATACACCCTGCTGCTCATCAGCACTGTCTTTGTCTTTGCCCACATCCTCGCTCTGAGAGTGTTTTCCTTTTAGAAATGCCCCACTGATGTCAATGGTTGTCTTGGTTTGAAAGACAGGTGTTTTGCCAATAAAGGCAGGGACCCCCTCCTTGGAGTGGTGGATATGACCCCCCCTTCCCTCTGACTTATTATAGCTTTGGAAAAAACCACGGGCTTCCAGGCAAGAGTATGGGGGAAAGGGAATAACAGTTTTATTAATATGTATAACAAAGTGAAAATAAGTAATAACAACAATAGCAGCAACCAGCCCAGCCACAAGCCCAGTGACAGCCTCACACAGAGATGCTCACCTGATTCCCCGGTGACTGCAGGAGCACTGTGGCGCAGGTCCCGGCTGGCTCAGATCGAGGCAGAAGCTCACAGTGGCAGCAAAACAGGAACCAAAGAGCAGTCGAGCTCTGCTCCACAGGTAGCAGGCCAACTCCCCTCTGAGCCAAGCAGGGCAATATATATAGATATAGCAATATATATAGTTACCCGCCACCATCACACCCACACACACCCCCTCCCAGTACTTAGCAAGRTMGTTTGGGTGGGGTGTAGGTCCTATTGTCTTTACTAATCRCCCTGCCATSMAAAGGATGACCTGGCAATCAGTGTATCCCAGCAACAAAATGGGAAAGAAAAATTCCCAAGAAAGGAAACAAAAGAAGATCCCATAAGCCACAACAATGGTTCATCCCAATTTTTTTTGTTGGAAGAGCAGGGCTTTGCTTGGGGTACCCCTCACCTGTTTCAATCACATCAGACCCATCCCCCTGCTCTGTGCCTGTGTGATATTTCCACAGTAAATGATCCATTTTTTTCCTGGGAAATGGCACTTACTCATGCAATCCTCGTTTCTGTGGTGCTGCAGCTGAAAATCTCCCACATTGCTGAGGTGGTTGGTTTGGGAGCACTGGGACAGCCTGGATTTCTTCTGCATTATTACAAAATGTTATCTTAATCCCTGCTGGCTGCAGAGAGCCCTGGGGATCCGTCTGGGCGCTGCAGAAATCCCCTGGTTATCTCCTGCGTGTGCTCTGAGGGGCAGAGCAGGGATAGGGCAGCAGAACAGAAGATTTGGGCTGTTTTATCAAAAACCTGCAAAGCTCCTGGAGTATAATGTGTGTCAGGCTCTGTCAAAAGATCTATTGAAGACAAGACTTGAAGGCTGACTTTGAAGTGTGCTGATTAGCACTCAAATTCCCTTTAAAACGAACTGCCAAGCCCAAAGTGTCTTGAAAATGGCTGGTTTTGGGAAAAGACTCACTGATACTTTTTTAAAGCTTTTATATTTTAAGCCTGAAGTAGCTGCTGAGATTAGCCAGAGCCTTCTCTTCTCTGATGTGATCAAATCACCTTTCAAGTTTCTTTTGATAGATTGACCTGTCTTTCCCCTTTCAGAAGAGGAGTTSTAGTATTGAATTTGTATTGATTTCCATTTTTGGGAGCAGACAGAACAATTAATTTAGCACACAAAAGCACCCGTCRGGTTATAGACCCTGTTAGAGTAATAGGAATTTGGGTTTTCTTCCTGTAATGAACCTGTGTGAAMACCTGCAAGGAAAAAGGAGCTCTCCCAGGGAATCTGGAGTGCTGCAGTTGTTTAGAGCAGCAGAAAGCAGCCTCTGTGAAGGATGCTGCACCATGGAGTGTTTATGAGAAATAAACTTGCAAAATGTGATGCTCCTAATGAGTGTGTGGTTCCTTTTTGCTAAGGGAATGCTTCCAGTTTTGCAGGTTAAAATCATAAATGAGAATCACAGAAGGGTTTGGATTGGATGGGACCTTAAAGATCATTTAATTTCAACCCCCTGCCATGGGCAGGGACAC